TGAACTTGGGAACGGAGAGGGTGCGACGAAACACTGAGTCTTTGTCTAATTTAGATGCTTTACAAGTTATACACCTTTTCATCGCCTTTCTATGATTGGTGCCCTCTGTGATCGCAACTGAGGATAACGATTAACATTAACGACCTGATTTTGAATTACTCAGCATCTATGAATCCCACAAATATGTACTATTTATACGTTTTAATCAATATCGATGGCTAAAGTGCGACACCATGTGTTTCCATTGTGGTATTTTTAAAATCGTCGCTCCTGGTTTACTTAATCTTTCGGAAATGAACATGTCAGTTTTATCGCTTGAAGTTGTACAAAATAATTTTCTAACAGAGAAGAAAAATCAAGGAGGTTTCAAGTAATTACGTTGTCTAGTTTTTCAAGAAAGAAATAAAGTACGACTGGAAGTCTACATTTTGCAAATTGAGATACGTCGTCTTTACTTTGGCCATTGATATTCTGGATGCTTTAACAATAGCGTGTACTTACCAGCGAAGCGCTGGGCATTAGGTATATTTAACTAAAATTCATGAACGTGATAGGGAGCAGCTTACGCTGAAATGACCAATACCGTACCAGGAAGCTCTGAAAATGGGGTTTTTCCTATTCGTCCGTCAAAAACTTAAGCAATTTTTGAACTTGTAAACTACTTTGGCACAATAGTGGGGTTTTAAGGATCTTAATCATCGGTGCAACAAAGAGGGCACGCACTATCAGTCACACTGGATTCGATTAACATAACAATCACAAAACCCGCCAAATTATCACCATTAAACCGATCAAATACGTGGAACTTTCGCATGATCGCCACTCGCGTCAAACCAGTCAAACTCAACCTGACCAAGTGATAAACTCATAAAGTCATGTAAACCAAGAGGGTTTGATTGATGTTGTGGAGAGGGGAAGGGGGCAGGGATCCTTACAGAAAGAGAATGGTTCTCGATGTCGGACCGGAATTAGAAAATACATCCATTTAACGAAGTAACAATTTTCAATAGATATGTTTAAAAGAGCCTCTCTGTACATGGGAGGAGATTATCCAATGATTATTCAGGGAATAATCTAAAATGCCGTTTTATCAGATATTCATTGGATATTCTGAGGGTAACCTGAAAAAGCCAGGATATCCATAGGATATTCGGAGGATAATAGAAATCATGGGGTATTGGTAGGATATTCATCGGATTTCTACTGCTAGCCGGGACAACACACAGGATTTCTTCGACCTCATTCTACATTTCTCATGCAGTTCCTTGACGTTTCGTGCGTTTTTTTTTTCAGTCCTACCATTTTGTACCGATACCGAGAGAAAATAACCGATCCTGCTAAAAATTGACCATGAAAATTCTATCTGAATTCTATCGATATTATCGAGAAATACCTAAGTACCGAAAATCGTATCGAAAATATCAGCATCTCCACTTGCTGAATCAATCGCTTAACACTTTGCTTTTCAGTCATCATTTTGAGCTTAGACCTCTGAAAACTCCTTTTACTCTGTGGGAAAGAGTGTAATGCGGAGTCTGTAGGTAAATATATCGCCTCTGACTATGTTGCAGATGAAAAGTCTGTCGTTCATAAAACATTGATGACATCATTAACCCGAGACTCGTTCGGGAAACCGCAAGATTCCATTCACTCGGCTCCTTACTTTTCATGATTGTCTCTGCGAAAACTCAGGAAACGTTAGCAAAAATAGCGGGTAGAAAAGAAAATGTGATGATATTTAGATGTCTCCTTTTCTAATCCCTTTGACTTCATTTTTTCATTCTTTTTCATCTGCTCACTCTCTCTTTTTCAATTCCTTTTGCCTCTCTTCAACCGCCCGACCGCTAGACAACAACTCAGGAAAATTGATTTGTTCAATACAAGGTAAAAGATTGTCTGGCATGTCAAAACTATTTGTCAATATCTACCCTCTCAGAATTTTTATTTTCCAGATAATTTTACGTTTAACGGAGAACCACAATTTTTTTTTCAAATTGACTTGCTAAAAAAAGAAAAGAAATCAAGAAAAAAAGAAAAAAATGTAAGGTACCTTATTTATTTCACTATCGATTTGGAGTTTAAGATGTCACGTGTTTGAGAATGCTCTTTTTCGACAGCGGACATAGTACAAAAGTGGCGGAATGGTTTGAGAAGAACGCATGATTATTATCGAATTTTTTATCCACGGTTATTGATCGCCCCCGAATGTACGTTTTATTGGTTGCTTCTAAGTCCTCTGCTAAAACTTTCCCCCGGGGATTTCACCCAGGCGGTTTTGGGCAGGGGAATAATTCCCCTGGAAAGTGACTCCCTTGGGAAGTGGCTCCCCTGCGAAGCTCCTTGTTCTGTACCCAAAATGCCGCCTCTACTAACAGAGCCATAGAAGAAAAAGATTAAAGATTACTAGCTGCTTCAGCTCGCTACGCTCGCTTGCGCCGCTGGACGGTGGCTTCGCCCCCTGGACCCCCAGTCACTCGCTCCGCGAGTGAATGTTGGCTCGCTTCGCAAGCCAAATTTTGCTACTACAAGTAATTAGTGGACTTCCTGGAGGCAAAATTATAATTCAAAAGCAAAGAATAAGAAACTAATAATGATAACCACCTACTTCTAGAAAAATAAACATCCTTGAAAAATAAAAAACAATCCTGGAAAAAAAATCAACACACTTTGTGGAAATTTGACGCTGCGAAAGGGTGAAGATTAATTACCGATTCTCTTGGAAGAACACATGAGCTGCTGTAAAAACGTTAACTATTAATGAAACCTGTGCTGCCGTATAAAGGAAAATTATCTTCTAAAAAATACACATCAAAATTAAGTAATTTTCATAAAAGAAAAACTAAAGACAAAATCAAGAAACCCAAACTGTAGACGCACTAATAAGAAACCTGGACAAACCGAGAACTGATTATGAGCAGTGCGATGGAGGAAATGCGTAGTAGGTGTTCCGAGTCAGACGGCATAAAGAAGGGAGGGATACTGCCACAGGACCCATGCCAGAGTAGAAGGGTGACACGTGTTAACGGCAGGTAGGGATGGGTTTACATGGAGAGGGAAACGGAAAATCAAAGGGTGGGAGGTCCCCCAACCATATGACTCGTCCAGCGACAAATATGCAAATATTTCGTTATCAAATTGAGGAAAATTTTCCATTATCGGTCGCGCAAATCGAAACATCAAGGGATGCCTGCAAATTTACAGCCTAAGAGCTTTCATTTAAAACAAATCCGAGGAAAATCAGTCCAGTAGTTTCCGAGATCGAATTAGGACAAACTGTCCAGCGGCAAAAAGGGAAATATGTCGGTATCAAATCGAGGTAAATTTTGCAACATCGGTCGCGCGAATCGAAAAACCAAGGGGTGCCTGCACATTTACAGCCTAGGAGCTTTCATTTAAAACAAATCCGAGGAAAATCGGTCCAGTAGTTTCCGAGATCAAATTAGGACAAACCGTCAAAAGTGAAGGAGGACAAAAAAAGCCTTAGGATATCATCTTAATCATCTCATTAATATAAACTTCGAAGGATTCTGCCTTTTTCTATTTCACTCGAAAGGAAGTGTCCCCTCCCGGACTCTCTTCCCCACCCGGTGACTGACGCTGCGCTGCGCTGCGCTGTGCTGAACGGTTCAGCCTGAACCTTTCCCCTACGTCTGACCGTTCCCCACTCCTCTGTCAATCGAACCATATGCCACCGCTTACGTATTGTCGCTCGCCCACCCAGGTACCTAGCGGCCAGCGGTCAGTTGATGATAAATCTCGCTCATGCTCCTATGCAGCTACGCATTGATTACGCCAGCTAATTACTTTCTAATAATTAGAATTTCTTCGATAATAGTTTTCTTTATTTATTCGACTGTATTTTTTTCTCTGTTCTACTGTGATTTCCTTGGTTCTCTACTGTGTTTTTCCTAAATCTCTGAGTCAGAAATCTGAAGCACTTCGGTATGCACCGAGTACTTCAGATGTGTGACCTGAAATCTTCGGTATATAACGAATTACTTCAATTGTCTGACCCGAACTTCGGCAGATGGACCTTAACTTTTCGGATGCGTGATCCGAAAACTTCAGAGATCCATATGATCTCAGCTTCGGGTTCCATGCACAAATTTTTTTCTCGTGTTTCCTTTTAGGGGACGCAACTAAAATTTCAGTAAATTTTTTTAGAAAAGTAAAGAAAAAAAAAGAAAAAAAAGTGGCTAACGATGGTTCCTCACCTTCACGTGGTGTTGGCTGTTTTTACTAAGTGGGAACCGTCCATTTGAAGATACTAGCCGTTCTGGGCGCGCTTCGCGCGCCCGTCACGCCTAGCCGGGGGCTAGGCCCCCTCGGCCCCCGGTCACTCGCTACGCGAGTGACATTCGGCTCGCTTCGCGAGCCGATTTTGTAGTAGTTGCAAATTTTTTATCACTATATTTTGAAGATTTCATAGAAAACATTATGAAATTCTCACTCCACAATTAACTTGTAGAATAATAATGGTAGGGCAAGAAATAGACTATCTCTTAAAATGGACGGTTCCCACTTAGTAAAAACAGCCAACACCACGTGAAGGTGAGGAACCATCGTTAGCCACTTTTTTTTTTTTTCTTTACTTTTCTGTAAAAAATTTACTGAAATTTTAGTTGCGTCCCCTAAAAGGAAACACGGAGAAAAAAAATGTGTGCATGGAACCCGAAGCTGAGATCATATGGATCTCTGAAGTTTTCGGATCACGCATCCGAAAAGTTAAGGTCCATCTGCCAAAGTTCGGGTCAGACAATTGAAGTAGTTCGGTATATACCGAAGATTTCAGGTCACACATCTAAAGTACTCGGTGCATACCGAAGTGCTTCAGATTTCTGACTCAGAGATTTAGGAAAAACACAGTAGAGAACAAAGGAAATCA